CAAAACCTCTGTTTTGCCTTTTTTGAGTCTCGTAATTTCCCTCGTGTCTTCTTCTTCTTCTTTCGTTCTCTATCTTCGTATTCCTTTTTTACTACCTTTATTCGCCTCTTTGATTCCTCTGTTTTTTTTTGTTTTTGTTTTTTTTGGTATATTCGTTATTCTCATTACCATCAGTGCAGTTTATCGTTAACGTTATTACTATTATCATTATTTTTATATTCATCATCATTGTTATTGTCATAATCATTGTTGTCATGGGTATTGTTATTTTCGTTTTTGTTACTCTCAATGTTATCATCACTTTTATGATCATTACTAGTGTCATTATCATTATATTATTATCATTATGATAATTATCAGTAGTATCATTAGCATTATTATTATTAATATCATTGTTATCAGCATTATAGTCATTTTTATTAATGTTATCATCATTTCTATATTATTATTATTATTATTATTATTATTATCATTATCAGCATCCTCATCCTCATTGTTATTATTATTATTATTATTACCAATGTTATTACTATCATTATTGCTATTACTTCTATCTTTACTATTATTAGCATCACAATCATAACCATCATCTCATCATTATTATCCTTATTATTATCATTGTTATCATTATCATCATTATTGTTATCATCATTATTGTTATCATCATTACTACTATCATCATTATTATCACTATTATTGTTATCATCATTATTGCTATCATCACTATTATTACTATTGGTCTCGCGCACACCGGCTTCCCCTAAACTGCTGTGCGTCTGGAAGTATACATTCTGCGGCAGTTTTTGGAGGCCGCGCGCTCTGCGATCAGCCGTTTCCTATCTATCACAGTCTCTGTTTTGTCTGCTGACTTTTGACGTGGTTTTCTGCATCCTTCTCCTTGCGTTATCTTTTCTTCTTCTTCTTCTTGTTTTCTTTTTCTTTATCTTCTACTTCTTCTTCTTGTTTTCTTTTTCTTTATCTTCTACTTCTTCTTCTTTTTGTTTTTTATTTTTTTCTTCTTCTCCTTTTTTATCTTCTTCTTCTTCTTCATCTTCTTCTTCTCCTTTTTCTTCTTCTTTTGCTTCTACTTTATCTTCATCTTCTTCTTCTCCTTCTCCTCTTTCTTCTTCTTCTTCTTCTTCATCATCTCTTGCTCCTTCTTCTTCTCCTTCCCCTTCTCCTTCTGCTTCTTCCTCTTCTTCTCATCTTTCTTTCTCGTTCTGTTTTTCCTTTTTCTCAATATATGTGAGTAATACATGCGTATCAATGACAAGGCTATGTTTTTAGTCATGCATTCAAAAAATTGAATAAATAAAATTATATAGTTCCCGTTAAAATAGTCACGGATTTTATGTTTTCTATGACGGAAACGGGTACACTAAGGGATCATCATAGACCATTTTATTTGAAATTTTATTGCAATCTCCATGGTTAAATAGCTAAATGATATACGCCACTAATGAAATATTGTATTAGTACAATAAGTATGTGTCACTAATATGATTTCGGACAATATGTAGTATAAGGTAGTGCCAGAGTTGGGTAATAAAACCTACATGAAATACAAACCAAGACAAAGTTCTTCTATGACAATATGTGTGCAAATGCTTCCCAAGGGTGTTATACGTAAAAGGAAATTTTGGCTAAGTCGCTCATCTTGATTTTACATTGCGAGGGTGAATTCTGGACGCATATACTACCACGGGGGTCCAAGGAGCAGAGCCCCTTGGCTAGGGAATACATACATGGTGTTAGGTTAGGTTGGATGTTGGGTTAAGACATTTTGTTTAATATCCACGGGGGTCCTGTTTTACCCCATAATTTCCCTGATATACTTCATGCCCTCCCCTGCTATCGGGACTATCAAATCAAGATTGTCGATGGAGATGGTGACCATATCTCCTCAACGATTCATTTGCACAAGGAACAATGCCTAGAATTGTTGAAAGCAGTGGATTTCATGCAGAAAAATATCCAAATTGTTTTGAAAGTATCCCACTACCCTCTTCTACATATTGACCATGATTTCAGAGTACAATAATGGTCTTTATCTTTATTCCGTTTATCTACTTTTTAAAGCGGCTGGAATGCGTGTGATTATCAGAAACTTTGTTGCTTTACATGAAGGAGCTGGTCTTTGTGCAATAATAATTGGAAGCCACTCACTGTTATTTTCATATTATACGGAAATGTTGATGACGAGGTTTTTGCTACAGAAAGAGAGAGAGAGAGAGAGAGAGAGAGAGAGAGAGAGAGAGAGAGAGAGAGAGAGAGAGAGAGAGAGAGAGAGAGAGAGAGAGAGAGAGAGAGAGAGAGAATAATACACATATACGGCCATTACCGGTTACCATGCGAATGCGATGATGGAACCTAGACTTCGGAATAAGATATCCATCACTTATTTATCAACCATTACAACCTCTACACTTTAGTTAAATTTGAAGATATTTAACCTGTATTACAATACTGTATGAATTCTTACATCACGATATACAGGAAA